CGTCTAGTCTGAACGCAGTCATCCGCGACTGCAGTCTAGTCACGGCTTGCCGAGCAGATTGAGAGCCGAAACAAATAAATTGAAAACTGTTCTAAATTTACATCTTTTTATAGATAAAAGTGCGCGTAAGGAATTTTTATCAGCGTGTTTGTTTACACAGTACAAAACTACGCAATGTCAATTATTTATTTATTATTTTATTTATTACTAAAACCACCTACAAAGATGAGTAAAAGAATAAATATATACAGGTATGTAAAATAATACAATAAAAGCAGTAATTAAAACGGTTTTAAGAGCAGTCCCGCCAACATATATTCTTTTGAGAGTCTGTTCTGATAGCTGGGGCTGTTTACTAAAAATCTCAGCGTGTCAACCAGCCCTGCCGGTGCATGCAGGTCCGGACCAGCATTCCGGATTCCCGACCCACTCAAACATATTATAAGATCGGGTTCATACCACAAGAAACAATCCTCTGGAGCAACGACCCCTGCACTATGGAACGATTAAGCAGAAAATGAGACAGTTGATGAGTTAAAAAATTAAGATATGGTGTGTCAATGCTCATTACCCTGCGGTATAGTGATTCCACATTTATAGATATAGTGTAACTAATTTTCGGAACATGTATGGCTTCTAGGAGAGCAGAGGTATGAGACCGCGAAGATAAACCCATGAATCTTGTGACCTGTTTGTTTTGTAATGTATTGAGGTCTTTTATATTTTTATGAGACATACGGATAGAGTTAGTTCCGTAGGTTATAACGGGGGACACCAGTGCACCCCATATATACGATTTGGGTTTTGTGTCCAGCCCCTTACAGCACACCACATGCGACATTGCACCATAATATGCCTTGGTTGCAGAACAAATTCTAGCAGCCGTGTGGCCATCCGCCGTGCAGTTGCTATTAAACGACACCCAGAATATTTAAAGAGTCCGTCATTTCCATAGGATATCGACCTAAGAACCACGAAGGGGGTGTTTTTAATAACACTTTTCCTACCGTCATACATTGTGATTTTTTGAGACCAAATTTCATTCTCCAGCGCAGGGAGAAGTCATAACAGACATTAATCAGCTCTTGAAGTCCAGTCACAGTTGTAGAAAAAATTGTTAAGTCATCAATAAACAATCTGCTTTCATGTATGGTTGATAACATGATAATATATAGATTTATAGTTTTATGACGCAAATTATATATATATAAGAAGAACACAAATAAATGTCTTTCTACCTCGGGGGTGGGTGGGGTACGTCGCAAAAATGACTATAATTTAAGGTGGTCAGTGTAGTCTTTGACCCTTTTCTTGTGGTGACTCTGAAGAATTAGTATTCCTAAATACATGTAGACTTCAGAGTGACGAGGAATGAGAGCACTGTTGTAGGGGTCCATGTTCCTCCCTACCCAGGTTCTTCTAATATTTTACTTGTCACTGATGCATGGGAGAGGGAATATAATAACGAACTCACATGTTCAGTTCCAACTCTTAAATTCCTTTATTAGGTCCAAACATTCAGCATTTATACCCATTATCTACAGGGAATCTATCTGCATGCCACAGTGGCAGCAACTCATTTAGATACTAATTGCAATGCAATAGATAACAAGTGACAGTTTCTTCTTATCAGTTATATCAGTTCTACTTGTCAGGTATACCTTTACAGAGGATGACAAATATTCATTCAAGACCGAAGCAAGGTGAATGATAATATGCTGACTGATTATATAAACATGATGTGTAAATGAGTGAGTTTACCACATGCCTTCAGTGAACCTTAACAGTGGTGTTTTAAAACCAAATCACTAACATTCGAGATACGGAAATGATTGTGTACTGGAGGGTATTGCATTATTTTCTTCCTCATTTATATGCAAATGAGTTCAGGAAGTTCGAGTAGGGCCACCTCTACCCGAAATATATTGGGCCGAGCTCGAAATAATCAGTAGATGCACATGTGAACTTTTAAGGTAATACACGTGATCGTCGCGCCAACAGGAGCGCTTAAGGTCGTTAAAGTAAACAAACCGCGCTGCGCTCGATTTCGAAACGTGACCCTCCCAACCGCTAAGGCAACGCGACGACAAGTTTGCCGACGAGTAAAAAGAAAGGATATTTAATCGAGGATTTCGACATGTCTGGAAAGGTAATCTAATCATTTTTATATTTGCATAAGTTTTTTAAACGTTTTGTGAAAACGGACCAATTATCCCCGGAGGATTTGGTCTGCAACTTGATCTTTCTGGATCTTTCAAGTCAAGAAGGCCCGTACGAGCTCGGCCTCAAAGTGAAAAACAACTTGCGATTAGGGAAAAACGTTATTCTGTCAGACGGAACCCATGTAGCGTTTTTTTGGACATTTCACCGAGGGTACCGATGAACACAGGGGGCAAAGACAGCTCCTCTTCTTTGTCTAGGCTTCTGAGGTAGTCCTTTATTTTTTAATTTTTTTCTTTTTTTAAAATTTTTTTCCACCTTTTTTTTTTTTTTGTTTGTTTGTTTGTTTCAAACTAAAAAAGTAAAGTCAAAATCATATCTTAATGCCCATGTTTAAATTTAAATTTAAGCCGAGACCAACTTTCGACTTAGAAAAAAGTAATTTTCCTATCAGACGGGGCCTAGGTGTTGTTTTATCATAATTAGGTCAGTGCACACGGGGACAGGTAAATGCTTGTTTTTCCTTCAGTCGCGAGACCCTGGAGAAACGTATTATTCTGTGACCCAGACGCTCCAGTAAGTACCCTCGAATTTCTTTTTGATTTTTAACAACATGTTTGGTGTATATATGTACTATTTATAGGTCATGTTGACCAGAACCAGGCGCCATCACGCACCGTGCGTTACCGTTCAAACAATATTGTATGTGGTAGTGGGTCCTTTAGAGTAAATGACAGTTACGCTCCTTTGTTGTAAAATCCAAAAAAGAAAAACTTGATTCTATCAATTTCACAATCAACACTCAAAATTTTGCTCAATCTCAGGCACGGCTGTCACCTTAATCGATTAAAAAATAAAAATAATATGAAACGACTTTCGAACACCGCACAAGTCTACCTAGGTGAAAAACAGGATAATAAAGGCAATTAACAAAGTCGACAAATATGGGGTTCACGTTATATATATATATATATATATATATATATATATATATATATATATATATATATATATATATATATATATATATATAACGTGAACCCCATATTTGTTGATTTGATAAGGTTGATTTGATAGCAGTTACAATATATATATATATATTGTAACTGCTATCAAATCAACCTAAAACAAAGTTTACCCACCTAAATCGACTCTCCGAGGCAAAACTGCCACGGTCTTCGTCCATGTCGCTTGAAACCCGCCGAAGCCAAATTTCTGCAAAATTAATCGTCAACTTCCAGAATTAAATGAAAGTGTCCAACGCCGGACTCTAAATGAAAGTGTCCCGAAATTAGGAAATGTCAGTTCTACATGCATAATAAGGACATTAAATGGCTTGAGCACCTAGCACTTTGTTTAACTGTGTTATATTTAGTGTATTTTTAAATATGAATCTCAATGTATTAAAAATATCCTCAATTTGCCCAATTCAATTTTAACTAATTTTGTCACTTCGATTAATTTCAAACTAATGTCATTTAAAACATTTAACAGATGTATTTATTTTGTATAAGTTATTGTATAGTCCAACTTCTTTATTGGCAAAGAAATTAAATTTTTATTAAAATTATTATTATTGGAGAACCGCCATTTATGTCGTTCCTTTATTCTCGTTCATTGCAGCATTCAGCTATGTCACTTTTAGCCTTATATTTTGGGAAAAACATTATACACAAACTTGTGTTTTATTGCATTTTGTATATTAAGTGTAAAATCCTGTCGCCTGATTGACGCGTCTGTTGACTACAGAACTATGCTTCTGTCTTCAATCCCGAAGGGCGATTGAATAAATGCTCTGAAGTGAACGAATGAACAGGCTTGCTCCGCCGAAGGTCAACAGACATGTACAATAAAACCCCTCACCGGCCTTCCGATCACCAGGTTATTATTTATTTATCATTATTTTAAATACCTAAGTCTGCGGCGATGGAGATTGGACCGGAAGAGCTTTCAATGCACTGAAGTAAGTCGACTGCATGGTTCAACCCTGTTTTGTGATTAAATTACAGTTAAACAATTGATAAAACGGGTAAATGTTTTTTTCTTCTCCTGTAAAAAAAGATGCTATTAAGTATTTGAGAACTAACCTTACAGATAAATAATTTACTACTTGACTTCTACAGAACAATCGCACGATTTGTATTTTATATAAGTAAACTAATAATTCAAATCGTTTTGTTCATGTTTCTGATCTATTTAACGTAAGCAAACTATTCCTAGCTAAATATGTTTCTAAAATTGACGCTTAGCTATAAAAAGGTGACATATTGGATAGAGTAAATTCCATTCAAATTTTAATGGCGTTCTCGTTACAACTTTTCTAGCAATTATTATAACGGAATTGGCATGTTGGCTGAGAGATGCGTCTAGGATATGCCACTTACAGATGTCCGAAAGTCATGTTCTTATCCTCCAAAGCTTTTTGCCTTTCTAAATTTCGAAATTTAAAACGATAAAATCCCTCTCAAAAGTAGGCCTATATTCAAGGCGTATCCACTGCTATTCTTTGGAACCTGGTACTGTATTTCGGGACTTCACGCGAGACATAAAAATACCATAAATATGCATGACGCACTATACAAAATTTCTCAGTTATTTTCTTTTCTGGGGCGAAGAATTAGTGGTGGCGCGAAAATGACGGAAAAGACAGCTAAAACCTTTCGGGAGTTTTGCAATTTTTAGGAAGTGTAATAAACTGCCAATTAAACGTTCAACTAAATTTTTTTCGTGTTTTTCATCTGATTCTACGCTTACGTTATCGAAACAGATTTGACAAATGAAGTGTCAGCGCTTGCCTGAGACACAGTCTAATACTTAGTAACTAAATCCTTTCAAGAATGAATAAAAGGAGTTAGCTTCCATGGGACCTTGCTTGCACTGATCATGACCTAGACAAGTGATTTAAGAGTACAGGAGACATCGGCCTTGAAGATAGGGGTCTCTTTACAATATGAAGAAGTTAACAAAACACAGCGGGTGCCATTTTATACTTTTTTGACGTTTTGATATTACGAGTTCTATTAACAAAATTTCACAATGAAATACAGTGATTAATTATCCACCATTTTTCACTGTTATTATCCTGAAAAAAACTTTACGTGTTTGGATCTCTAGACTATTTTCATAGGCACTTAGGAAAAATGGCGTGATTTAGTTTTTATTTCTTTCTTCATTCAGTCCCGACCAAAACTTCCATTATTATTATTAGTATTATTATCATTATTATTATAAATTCACTGTGACATGAAGTTATCAGGTTTAGCAAGTAAATAGTTGGTAGGAGACAGGAGTAGGGTATCCATCAAGGTTGTTTAAATTAAAATCAAAATGAAATAAGAAGGCCTTGCCAACAATGTGCGTGTTGTATCCATACTACTATATACCGCGCACGAACGGCGCATGCACCACGCAGGCAAATTGATTCAGGTCAATATATATAAAGAGGAAGGATAGAAAAACTAAATTACACCCCCTCTCCCGAATATCCATAAACAGAAAATCTATAAACACGTTACAATTTTTAGGATAATTACAGTGTCAGTATATATATATATATATATATATATATATATATATATATATATATATATATATATATATATATATATAAAGGCATATAATAGGCCTGTGCATAAGTACTTCATGTACCAAAACATATTTTAAAAAATCCAAGAAAATTCAGCAATGTTACCTTTGTCGTGAAGGTAGACCCAAGGTATTAAGATAGTGGCCAAAAGAACGGGTTTATAGATTCTAATTCTAGAACGATTTTGGATTGAATAAATCCTGGCTACGCTGAATAGACAGACAGACAGACAGACAGACAAACAGGTAGACAGACAGACAGACAGACAGACGGACAGGTGGACAGACGGAGAGACAGACAGACAGGCAGGTAGACAGACAGGCAGGTAGACAGACAGATGCACGGACTATTGCCAAATGTATTCTCAACGCGTACTGTATGCCTTTAGAAGGGTTCAGTCATTTCTGTTTTGTCATCCACGAAATGAAAAGAAAGAAAAATAAATAAAAAAAATCAAAATAACTCTATGGAAATAAAGGGAGTCTTCTTGTACTACATTGTGCAACTTGACAGGAAAATTATAGGCCCCTACCCCTTGTGCACTTTAAATTGTCACCATTTATTCAGGACCTCATATGAAAATGCCCCAAAGTCATGTTGATGTCAATATAACCTGCCAACTTAGTTACTTATCTTTCCTAAATTAGACCTTAATATGATATTATCCTCCAAATAAAACTACCCGGTGGCGATATTTTCTTCTGAAATGTACACGAAGGAAATTTTCCAATTAATTAATTTAATTTCAAATTGTATAAAACACCGAGTCCTAGTGAAGGTTGAGTCAAGCAATGTTGATTCTTCAGAGAAAATTGGATTCAGCGAAAAATTCCCGGATATGATATGATATATTATACCTTTAAGTGACATGATAACTTATCCACCTTAGTCTCTGTAATTATCTTAAAACTTGTAACGTGTTTGGATCCTTAGTCTCTTTTTATGGACGCCTTCCACTGTCACTGTAATTATAAAGAAAATTGTAACGTGTTGGGTTCGTTATCTATGTTTATGGATATGCGGGAGAGGGGATGTAATTTAGTTTTTGTATCCTTCCTCTTTCCGTCCCGATCAAACCTCCATTCCTTTATTATTATTATTATTATTATTATTATTGTTATTATTATTATTATTATTATTATTATTGAACCTTCAAAATCAAATGGAGTTGCCAGGTTTAACAAGTAAATAGTTAGTTGTGGAGTAGGGTATTCATCATGGTTGTTCAAATTAAAACAAAAATGAAATAAGAAGGCCTTGCCAACAGTGGACGTGTTGTATTCATACATGTACTAAATATCGTAGGCACGCATTAACCACAAAGAGAGAGAGAGAGAGAGCAAAAGAGAGAGAAAGACCCAGAAAGAGAGATAGTTTCTTCAACCTGCCCTGTATTGGGAAAGAAATAATAATGTGTACCTGTTAAGAGGTAAATTACATGGTTACTCCCACCAAATCATAACTGGCATATTGTAAGGCTCACAAAATCGGTGGATAAGTAAGTTTAGCGACCGTGTTATATTTTTTGGGGTACATTCGGGACGGAGAAAGCCAAAATATGTCATTACTCAATCTGCATATTATTTCAATGTACTGTGTGTAAAAGAGACAAAATACCAGAATAATCAACAAATTCAACATTCCTCCTTTTTGGAATTTCAACCCGGTGTGGCAGGAGTGCACGTCCTCGTAACGCAAGTCCGCCCGGACACTAAGTCCTGGGAATGCAAGTCCTAGGGCATGCATTGCTAGGAATGAAAGTCCTAGGACATACGTTACTAAGATTCAATGTCCGTAGGACGAAGGCTCCCAAGTAATGTAAGTCCTACGTGTAGTAATGCACGTCCTAATGGGACGTGCGTTCCTAACATTTTAGTAACGCATGTCCTATATACTGTAGTTTACAACAAGAAATGACATGAATAAATAGATATAGAGACATACTAGTTTTAAAGATATAATAAACGTTTGCTTTATTCTATTTATATGACATTTTATCTATTTTACAATGTTTTCCGATAGGCAGTTTATATGCATATTAATGAAGAAACAAAAACAATTTATTTATTTCATGTGTATTTTTCATCTAGTAATCGCAAATTTTGACGTGTTAACGCATATTTTTGGCGTACTCCTCCCTCATTGCACAATATGTATGAGCCTGGTTTGCCCGATATTTTTTTAACAAAATAAGGCACCATCCAAAGGCATCCCTTATTTTCATCCTTTGAGGTATATGTACAGTGTATATTATTTCATGTCCTTTTCTACTGGGGTGTACCTTTTGTGTTTTGCTTCGAAATTCTTATTTTCTCTCCTCTCTCTTTTTCAAAACCTTATTCCTTAGAGAAAAATCACTTTACACAATACGCGGGATCTCCGTTCTTAGATTTATTTTTCGGTTTACACTCGCTGAAATTAAAAAAAACTCAAACTCGATGGAAATTTGCTCTTGGAAAGTATGGGCTGAGATTTAAGACAAATCAAGACAGTTTAGACATTGAAAATTGCAATATATGTATATAATGTTCTGCAATAACCCTTTGCTATTTTGGTGTTTTGACACTTAAAAGACAAAAAGAAGTTGTAAATGTAATGAGCACGGAATTTCGAACACATATTAGACATTAATAACACCATTAAACAAGTAATAAATAGGTGGAAGGGGAGGGGGGAAGGTCATGTCAAAGGTAGGTCTCGAACCCATAGATGCAACAAAAGGATTCATGAATTCTTATCTTGTAGTCTTGCACGCTAACCACTACACAGACGAGCTGAAGTTGCAGACCTCTCATTTTTTGTCTCATATATGGCTCACCAGAAGGATTTCATATACATTTATAGTTTTATCATTTAACAGTATTATTAGCTAAGGATAGGACTTTCAAATGGTCGGACTTTTATTATTGTCATGGTGTAACAGGAATAAAAGTCCGACAGTAATACAAGTCCTGCCTACACTAATTATGGAACCTAAGTCCCTGTAGGACTACTTTTCCCCCCAAGTAATGTTAGTCCTAAAGACAACCATTACCAGGAGACGACGTCCGAAGGACCTCGGTTCCAGGGGGACTTGGATTACGGCTACTTGATCTTGAGACAAGACGGCGTACATGTGTGGTGTACGAAGACGATTGACGCAGACCTAAGTAAAAGCATTTGGGTAAATTAAAATCTATAATTATATTTTAAACACGAAGAATATTATCATTATTCTAAACAAATAATACATCCTTCGGGCTTTCCCTCGCTGTGAAAATATGCATACATCTAACTGATTTATACCGGGTAATGAAACACAGCAATAGACTGTTCAGTACGTGCGCCGACTTTTCAAAATTCGTTAAAAAGTACCGGTACGTGTAACCAACAATTGTGTTGTTTTCTTCCTATTATATTTTGCATTATGGAAGAATAGCATGGCATTGTGATTTTCAGGTTCATCAACAGATTAAGGTGACACCTGACCGCGATAACAATCGAAGCATAAGTGCTGTCATCAGTGACATGCGTGTATGCAAGCTACCCGCGTCTGGGTGTGACCCTCCGCCAGAGGTCTCTGTAGATTGGCACAAATTATGATGAAAGACCTATCTAGCGGAGGATATGTCAATGAGGTGTGCCGGTGTGGGGTGAAATTTTCGTTCTGTGAATAACTTGTACTGCACATGCGCTTCCGGTATGACGAAGTCGTAGTATATGTGACGTTTTATTTACGACGGCCTGCTACCTCAATACCCTCTACCAGCGCCACAGATTGATTTTTTCACTAGATATTTACAGATATGTCTTAAGATAAATAGACGGTCATTTTGGTCTCTCGCAATAGAGAAGAGATACATATTTTCCGCAGGCGTGGTAGAGGGTACTACTTCAACGTGAATAATCCGTCAGAATGGGTTGTTCACCGCAACAGAGAAATCACGCAACACCTGCTATATACGTATTAATATAGCTCATCGGTCTGGGTCTTAACTTCCAACGTTAACGTTATTTCACTGACACTTTTGAGCGTTTAAAATTTTCCTTTGACAGTGCACGGAAAGAAATACTTGGACGATGCACAATGGTAAACTGAGATAAATTTTTCAGTAACATTTAGACACGGTCTTTTCAAGTGGGCGTTTTTAAAGTTCGTTTGATCTGGGCATTGTCTAAGTACAGCGCATTAGATATGTATTTATTTGATTTAAAAAAAAACAGTTTCAACGAAATATGCTAATGAAATGGTGACACATCGACCTGAGGGTTATTCTTCTCACCCTTACCGCATGTATATAATGATTTGTTTCATTATGACCACCCGGGCTTGACAAGTCAAGTTTAAATACTTATTCCCAAGTCCTGTTGCTGTATATGCATGTTTTATTATTTTCAAAATAGTTCATTAACAATAAATGTCATGGTTACAGAATATATTCACAGGGGAGACAGACGCAAAAGTATTATGAGCTGTCCTGTATAAACCAATCAATTGAAGAACTAGAAAAGCACTCCGAGAGCGCAGACCGCCGCCAAGGCAGCGATTTTTTATTATTGATTGATTGATTATTGATCAGGATCACCACCAAAAACTAATCATCTCTTCCTTGGCCCACTTTTGACAGTTCCTGAAAATTTCATCAAAATCGGTCCATAACTCTTTGAGTTATGTTGATGACAAACAAACAAACAAACAAACAAACAAACAAACAAGCAGGGGTGAAAACATAACCTCCTTGGCGGAGGTAATAATCTAATAAATTATATATATATATATGTTAACTAGATATTGATTCTCTCCCTTTCTTTCCCTCTATCTCTCTCTCTCTCTCTCTCTCTCTCTCTCTCTCTCTCTCTTACACACACACACACAAGCATGCATGCACACGTACGCACGCTAAACCATTCCGTTCCAAACCTGCGTAAACTACTAGGCCCTAAAAATTTATTTTTTGCTTGATATATTGCAGTCCTATTATTATTATTATTATTATTATTATTATTTGGAACCTGTTTTTGATCAATTTCAATTAGAATGTTTATGAATTAAATCGCCAGGTGACCAATACTGATTCTTTGTAAACAATGAGTTGTCTGGGCATTATGAGCTGATTTTCGTCTGGGCATTATAAGATGATTATGAGCTGATTTTCATTTGAATATTTTTTCATCTTTTCAGTTCTCACTTCATGATAGTACGGTTTCCCTTGGGGTAAGTCTCACAAACAAGAGATCACATCATTGCAGACAGGTTGCCCTGGCATATTTTCGAATTTTGGCAATGTGAAAACAATTAATTACAATTCAAATTATTATTATTATTATTATTATTATTATTATTATTATTATTATTATTATTATTGTGTGATTAAACATTTTCCTACCTCCACAGGTGAAGAGTGCAGACTCCCTAGGTAGTGGTTTACAGAGCAAGGCAGAGGAGGCCGATGACCCCTGGGAGCTTCCTGAACTGAAAGATAATGAAGTGCCTTGGGGAGGTATGCACGTGTGTGTGTGTGTGTGTGTGTGTGTGTGTGTGTGTGTGTGTGAGAGAGAGAGAGAGAGAGAGAGAGAGAGAGAGAGAGAGGAACGAATGAAAAAATACCTTGGGCGTGGAAAAGAGAGGGAAGAAGACTTCAAGTAGGGGCGTGAAAGCCAGTCTAAAATTGCGCTATAACGATAGCCCCAATAAAATTTTTGTGTATTTTCAACAGCAATTCAAAGGCTCTATCTTATAATAAGACATCAAAATTAATAACAGCATATTATGTCGAATGATGTGCAGCATCATGCTGATGTCAATTACCGACATCAATTCAGCTACCAAACAATACCAGACAATAAATAATGATCTCTATAAACATATGACAAAAAAATTAATATTTGCTTATTTCAGAGCTCACTGGATGGGGCAAAGTTGGCCGTGTCACCTGGATTATCGTCCGGGTGATATTATTAATTGGACTGCTCTACATGTTTATTTGCTCCTTGGATTTCCTAAGCTCAGCTTTCAGATTGTTAGGAGGTAAGTTTGCCAGTAGATATTCACAGCTATTTCTCTGTTGGATATTCTGTGTATGTTTTTGTATTGTGCATGCGGGAATTTGGGGAAAATAAGACACCAACTGTTACCCCCACTTGACCTTTGGTAGAGACAGGATGTAGATAGTTTTTAATATATATAGATTATACCTAAATTCTGGACTTAAATTTGAAGACAACTTTTAACTTTGTGTCTTTCATCCGAATTCGGGGTGCACGTGCCCATGAAGACCCCGTTTAAATCGGGTACACGCGATCAGAAATGAACGAGATTTCTTGCTCGCAGAGCTAAACGAATCGGCAATTTGTTCGTTCTTTTATCAACCTGAAAGCTAAATTTCAGTTTCTGTTTTATTTTATTACACTACGTATCCATAAAAACTAAAATAGAGTGGTCTGTACCAGGAAAATGTACATTAAAAATATATGCCTCCTGGGTCCAAGTAAAGTCCAGATGTAATCATGTTTCACTCACTCTCATTGCGATCAATAACAATTTAAAAGTATTAACATTTTATCACCACTAAATAATACTGAAATATTTATTCATTAAAGCAATTTAATTTATTTATTTCACTTGATTTCAGGTAAAAGCGCAGGTGAGGCTTTCGCCCAGGAAGAGTTATTGGTCAATCCGGTGGCAGGGTTGATGATTGGAGTGCTGGGAACGGTGCTCTTGCAGTCCTCGTCTACCACCACCTCCATTGTGGTCTCCATGGTGGCCTCTGGAAGTAAGTTCTCTTTCTCTCTCTCTGTAACAGTTTGTAGTTTCAGTGTTCTTGCACGGTAGGCCTACTATATTTTTTACTATGTATCCTTGTGTGTTCACTGTCAAGACGCATCACCATGTGCATGAGTAATAAAGTAGTGCTCAGCGCGTTGTTTCAGACCTTTCATCATAGTTCCACACTCTCAAATGCAGCGACAGGGACAGGGAGGGTGGAAGAGGGGAGTAAAAGGATAAAAATTTTGCTTCAATCCACTTGACAAATACTGCATAAAATATTAGGATAATTTCATCATATCATTTTGGGCACTGGTATGGAAAACTCTTTTCTCTTGTCTTGCTGTTGTTGTTGTTTTCAATTTTTGGGTGTGGAGGAGAAGGGTACATATTAAACTTTAAAAAAATTCTCTTCATCTATTTATTTATTATTATTTTTTATCACAGTCATCCCTGTGCAATCCGCCATCCCAATGATCATGGGGGCTAATATTGGCACGTCCGTTACCAACACCATCGTGTCACTGGGCCAGATTTCAGACAGGAGTGAGTTCATGAGGGCCTTCGCCGGGGCCACAGTCCACGATATGTTCAACTGGCTGACCGTCTTGATTCTGTTCCCTATTGAGTGCGTTTCTCGTAAGTCTTCATTGTCATCTGAAAAATATAATAATAATAATAATAATAATAATAATAATAATAATACCTATTTTAAGTCTAAAATCCAAATTTGTTCAGCAGACTTTACAATACAATTTGAAAAAATAATAATATTAATAAAGCTAGTAAAAAATGATTTTTAAAAAATGTAAAAAATGAAATTTTACTCGATCACTCATTTAAAAAAGACAACTAAATCAACTAAAGGGAAAACGTTTTACCTAAGGTTGCAAATCTAATGTCATTAAATCATTATTATTAATAGTAGTATTGCAACTTTCCACACAAAGGACAATCTGAATCATGTCAAAGACATGATTCAGATTTTGTGTAAAATAAACATGTAGATTTAAAATAAACATGTAGATTTTGTGTAATATTTGCACAATTTACGCCAAATTATTACGGCTGTTTTATATTATACTTCATGTACGGTACCCTCTCATGTAGAAAGAAACCAAGAGTAATAAAAAAGTTATGTAAAAAGTTAATATATGGCTTGACGCAGAGAGTCACATTTATGGAATTCCCCTGGTCTTTTATTATTCGTTTTGAGATTTACTCTTTGTCTTTAAATCTATTGTTGCTTATTTTTAGACATGCTTTACCATCTGACCTACGTTATTGTTAACAGCATGGAGTTGGTCCAGAACAAAGATTCCAACCCGGCATTGCTGAAGGCGCTCACTTCACCCTTTACTAAGCTTATTGTGGAGGTAATACACCGTTATCAGAAATACACTATCCGCGCTTTAAAAAGGTCCCAAAACCTGTTCTCTGTGTCTGTATGCCCTGCAAAGCTACTTATCTTTCCAAGCTCAGACCTTGAGAAAATTAAACAGAAGTACCTGATGCCGATATTTTCTTTTGAAATGTACAGTATGACGTAGCGACCGAAAAGACTGGCACTAAATTAGTAATTAAAAATGACATACAATATTGAATTCAAGTGCAGAGATAGGCCCAGCCATGAGTAGGCTATCAGAAAATTGCTTTTTGTCGAGGAAAATTGAATTGTTCTGACTCTCTACCCTCCACCCCTAGTCTCTTACTCTCCCCCTCTTTTTACTTTCATCTCTCCCTCCCTCTCTCTCTCTCTCTAACTGTTCATGTATGTTTCCAGGTTGACAAAGGTGTGATCACAAAGATCGCCAAGAACGAGGTACCTGCCAATACCCCCGTGATCAAACTGAAATGTAAGACAGGAAACAAATTAACAGTGAAGTCGGCCGTCTCTGCGTTCACTGGCTGTCCACCAGCAAACGGGACACTGGCTGGTAAATTCCATATATGTCTTATTAAAAAACTTATATCTATATCTTATATGCGTTTGTACCTAAACAATGTATTTTGTTTAAAGGGATAACAACTCTCCATAATGGTGTGAAAAGTGCCATAAAAATGTTCCCATATTTGCCAAGGTTAATGAATCCGTTCCAATACTCACTTGGTTCGTTTTTCTGAGTCGTATAGGCGGATGCCCATGAAAGCTGAACGCTTCTGATTCAAACATCGTACCAGCTGGATGGATCCAACTCTCCGGGGGGAATATCACTTAATTGCATTCACTGTAATCAGTTCATTATATTTGTCTGACCTTGAGTAGGTGGGTGGTGATTAACTTTCTTGTGCGCTAGGCTTAATTACTCCCCGAGCAGCTCGAGGAGGCGTGTCAAACGTTTAAGCTGATCACACTGATTACACTTATGAAGAATCTCGGCAGAGTTGGATCGATCAAGCTAGTACGATGGGTTTATCTGATCGCTCCCTATATTAATCTGGACCACCTTATTTCAGGTGTATCTTCGTGGCCTGCCAACGCAACCGACCCGATGTCTGCCTGTCAGGACAGGACTGTAGATGGAGACACTTACTGTACCGTCACAAATTCCACTTGCACTTGGACCTACATCTACGAGAAAAAAGACGAGAAGGTTGACTGTAAGTAGGACACGATTAAAATATGTCCTCCCTTTTTTTCGTTTTTATCTCCGTCCCTCGTATTTGAGAATGACGCCATTTTTGCTACGAATAGCTAAATGACAACATAGACGAATGAAAGTGTGAATGTATAGATAAAGTTTTTTGAATTCGGAGAAAATTGATATTTATTTGAATATGAATTGATAAACGAATAGGTTAATAAACGATAAAAAACAAATAGGTGAATAAATAAATGAAGGGACATTTGCAGGCGCAACGATAGACTTGCCTATCACCTCTGAATTTTCAGTTTCATTCTCATTTATGATTACCTTTTTGATAAAGAAACATAATAATGTCAAACCTTTAGCTGGTACCAATTTTCTCTTCACTAGATCCTTGACTTAAAAATCATTCAATTCTAGCATTTGTAATAGCCTACTAAGATTCTCTTACTTCAAACATCTACATGTATTTTACATCATTATTTGCAAGATTTTTTTTTCTCAGTGTGTGAATGGTGTGTGGAAAGTGTCTTTGTCATTGTGTTGAAATCGTCCTGTATTGACTTTAATTTGTGCATGGAATGAAAAGAGCCTTGACTTGAAGAATCTTCTTGGATTTTCAGGCAATTACCTTATGTTCCCGCTGACTAAGATCTGGTCTGACGCGGCCATCGGTGCACTGGTCTTGGTTATTGCCTTGGCCATCTTGATATTTTGCTTGGTCTGCATCGTGAAGCTTCTCCACTCTCTCCTGCGGGGAAAGATTGCTAAAATTGTCAAGAAGACGGTGAACGCAAATTTCCCAGGTGAGTGGATCTTAGAATCATCCTTGTCGATGTATCCATTTTCTAAGTGCAGTTATGTTGAAAATGTAAATACAAGTACTACATTGCATGTGCACCGTTCTGGAGTTTTGGGGACCGAAAGTTGAAAAGAAGTGGGTGAATTCAGATATGGGTTTTTAGGTCGTAATTTTCTCAACAGTTTTGGATAAGGTAAAACATGGTGATAAAGAGAATCTTGTCGAAATTCCCATGATTGTGTGTGTGTGTGTGTGTTTTTTTTATTTAAAAGTCAAATGTACATAATGTACATAATTTACCTTTCAGAACAAAGAAGCTTTGTTCAGAATGGATTTTAAATTAGTGTAAATCATTTTATTGCTATATAAAGGTTCAAACACGCTTTGTATGACTTTTATGAATAAAAATCCATTTTCTTTCTTTCAGGTAAACTCGCCTGCCTGACCGGTTACTTGGCTATCATAGTTGGGGTTATTGTTACCATCCTGGTTCAGAGTTCCTCCATCTTCACGTCCGCCATAACTCCTTTGGTCGGCATCGGCGTCATCCACATTGACCGTATGTACCCCCTAACCCTGGGGGCCAACATCGGCACCACGGTCACCGCCATCTTGGCCTCGTTCACACAGAGCAATGGGTTCGAGCTTGCCTTCCAGGTAGCCATGTGTCATCTATTTTTCAACCTGATCGGGATCATGATTTGGTACCCTTTCCCGTTCATGCGCAAGGTCCCCATTGGTTTGGCCAAAACCCTGGGCGAGAAGACGGCCGGGCACCGTTGGTTCGCCGTCCTCTATTTGGTCATCATGTTCTTCGGATTTCCCGCGATGGTCTTCGCACTCTCCATTCCCGGTTGGCAGTACCTCCTGGGGATCGGTGGACCCCTGTTGTTGTTCTTCATCATCATCATCGTCATCAACGTCATTCAAGTGAAAAGACCCGGATGTCTTCCTGCCAAACTGCGCAACTGGGATTTCTTACCAATATGGTGCCATTCTCTCTCCCCTTATGACCGCTGGTGCAACTGCTGCAGCTGCTGCACCAAGGAAGTACCCGCTGACGAGAGAGATCGAGGCAAGGCAGTTGAGGTGATGGTCGTCGGAGAAGACAACATCGGGTACAATTCGTATGGGGACTATCCGAATGGCTCACTGGGTCAGAACATGGAGAGCACTAACATGTAACAAACCTGACTACATCTCTTTACACCTGGCCCCAGTATCACAAAAAAAAAATTAAGTCGGTTTCCTGGCTTAGTTGACTTTTATTTCCATGAGCGTTCTGTTACACTGCTCCTGGCCCCAGTTTCACAAAAAATATTAAGTCAGTTCCCTGGCTTAGGATTTCCATGCTCCTGATAGGGTAAGACTTACCCATGTGATCATGTAACCTTGGTAATTAAGTTCTTTAGCCAGGGAACCTGACTTAAGTTTTTTTTTTTTTTTTTTTTTTTTGTGAAACCAGGCTCTCTGCTTCAATAACGCAAACTGACTAACAATGCCGGTGACAATCGATGCGGGTAATATTATAATTTCACTGGAGGAGGGGGGGGGTTAGGGGGGGTGCATAACGATGAGGGGACTTAAAAACATGGCCCTACGAATCATGGTGATGGCGGATACCTACTAATGTCCATCACATGCTCTTGTAGCTGCTCTGTTGGTCTTATGACAACCAGAATACACTCTGCTAGAGAGAAGATGGCTGAAAACAAGTGGTCTTACGTCCGGAATATTTTGTAATTTTAAAACGGGTTCACCGATTAAGGTACAGGGTGCCGCCTTGATCAATCATTTTAGAAAAGTGGTGATTAGTAGGGTCGCAGGTGGACATCAAAATCAGAGATAGAAACCCGGCAAACTAGATCTCTGTCCTTTAAACTGTTTTCAGATTGGAAACATATACAGTGATCTTCAAAATCGTTTTGTAAGGGGCACAAAGATTCAGGGCATTATCTCTATACCGGTTCTGTCCATAATCAAACTTATGTTCAAATGTGATATTATATTATATTATAAATGTATATATTCAGAAGATAATATATGTACTATTTTTAACATTTTATACAGTTTACTAAGTTTGTGGAAAGGGGCAAATTTTCAGATGTTAGTAAGTGCACAACATACAGCAGTCTATTTTCATGTTTATAATGGGTGCAGTCTCAGATTAAGATATAGAATCAACAATGTATGAAATTCAAGATTAAAGATAGGGAACGGTTTCAATTAATTATCACATGCAGAATGAATTAACACTGGAGTTCAGTTAAACAACATATTTTTCTTCTGTTGAAGCTTTTAAAATCTGATTAGCAAAAAGCTTCATAGAATAGGGATAAGAGAAAGAGAATCATTCCAGCGGCTTCTTTGATGAAAAAAGACTTTTATACCAAATGTATTTAACGTTGTAAAACTTTAATCTGGTTTCTTTAATACTGATCACAGTGATTTAACATTCATTCAGTTCTGCGATTATCTCCTTATGTTTAATACTTTGACTTACTAAATCTGTACATTGGTATGGTAGAATTTTATTATAACTTTTACTGTTATACGAGAACTGCTTTGGCAATCCTTCTACAAACGCCCCTGTGCCTAAACGAGTCTGAAGACTTTATTTAAATATTTGTGCGTACTGATCTGTTTACAATGTGCAAACTTATTATATACTTAAAATTGCCTGTAAAATTCTGAAGAAACTGTAATGACGTGGCTGTCCTGTAGCTTGTGATAAAAGTTTTTTATGAACTATAGTTTAACATTTCACAACCATTCCCGAACTATTACTCAAGGGTGCATAAAATTGAAATATGTATCTCGAAATACTTTACACATTCCGATTGTTAAAGAAATCTCTAGGCTGTCTCTTAAGTTTTATTTAATTTTAATTTTAATACATTATGTTAATTTTAATGCATTATGTTTTATCGTGATCACAAACGTTTATTAACTGTGTTTAGGATTGTCCTAACTATTTTATGACTTAACTACAGTATATGCAATATATTTTAAATAAAATATTTTAAGATGCTTTTCGTTTTGATTCCTGTGAGCGACATAGACCATCGCCTTTGACGGCTAAATTCAGGTAGCCGACTCTTACTTTGCGCTAATGATGACATGGCATACCCAAATAGGCCGCAGTTATTACCGGCAGTAAAAAATCTATATATAAAATTAGTTAAAAGACCAAAAGAACGAAGTAGAAGACCCAACACATTCTTTGTAAAAATGCGGCTCGTCGGCTTAGACGTTAGCTAAAAAAACTGACCGTAGTTCAATTTGTGCAACGGGCTGAGGACATGTTTTAACACAAATAACATTAGAATTCATTTTGCCATGCAGTTGAGTCAACTGCTTCTCGGCACCATGGCGACGCAACGGAGGTGGCACGGACTCGCCATTTACTTAGCAAATTATCCCTTAATTTCTCCCCTGACTAGATTAATGTCGTATCACTTTAAATTCACTTCACTTAATGCGAGCTGTTTTCACTCCCAAGAGCTGGATTTGTTACAAAGCTGGGTCGGAAGAAAATGTGACATTGATCTTAAATTTGTGATAAGAGTTTAAAATGGAAAGACAGGTAGGGCTAGATAATCGTATTTCACCTACTGAGATATTAGACGAGAGACGGGGACCTCTGTATTGTGGTGCATTTCTTTTCTAAATTGGACGAACAATATTCAATATTTGCCCTGGGAAAAGATCAGTTTCAAGCAATGCTCTATACATTTTATAGCAGAGGGTCATACATTGGATCATCGTATCGCCCCTATCAAATCATACGAGAGATGGGAACCTCTGTTTTATGGTGAATTTCTTTTTTGAGTCGGCAAAAATACTGTATATAGTAGTTACCCTGGGAAGACATCAATTAAAGCAATGCTTGATTGTATAGCAGAGAGCTATACATATGCTATTTGGAGTGAGAATCACCAGAAAGAGGGCTACCTAAGGCGTTTTATTCTCCCACTAGTCAGCTTAAGTCCCTTCCTCAGAAGGACATCTGCTGGGCTGGCGCTCGTTTTGCCACTTTGACGTCATCTCTTATGGTTAAGAACATTGTTTGTGTGCTTGCATGTATCTGCACGTTAACAATATGTATATGTAAATGGACTTGGCATAGACGTATTACTGGTGACACGCAGCGTATACACTGAAATCAAAAGGTACCCAGCAGAGATGGGTGGTTAAAGTTGACCCACCCTTTCCAACTACGCATAAATATTTTTTTGAGAGTAACGAAATTAGGGCCTATTTCGAAGCACGGAGTTTATAAACCCATAAAAAACTTCGTCAACAGTGGTGTGTATTCTACATAAGCATAGTCTCCCCAAACAAAAATATTCTCTTCAATCAACAGCTTAACATAAGATATTTCCACTCCGGTTTTTACTGTCTACGGTTTATAGTTATTTAGCAATTTCAAAGGAGGAGGGGATGCATGAAGATTGAGTCTTTTTACTGCAAAAATTATATATGTTTCAATACTGGCATAGAGCCTGAAAATATGGATTCAGGGTGGTCGTTTTCCAGGCCCAAGGGGCGGTTCTTTCGACCCCCGTCTCTTATGGTTTCAACAAGTGGTATTGGCTTCTTGCATGAGTTTTGGTGGTGTCTTTAGGCGCTGAAATATTGGAGTGAAACAACTGTTGTTCGAAGAAAATTTGATGGTTACTTTGAATTTTATGAATTATGTATGTTTGGGCTTCACTTCCTAAGAGAAAGGGAGTGGGACTGAATTTAGTTTTTGAAGAAAAAAAAGAGATGAGGGGCGTCCATGCAGTCGAAGCCCTACCCTGGTTTAACAGATCGACTTGGGACTGCGAGGCATAGGACCTACTTTGGAATACATTCCTGCTTATTTGTGTTTTACATCAGAGGCCATCTTGGTGGTGTCGGCATTTCTGAGCAAAATTTTTCACCTTGTACAAAAGGCAAAGGCAGAAAAGTGCACAGAAAAGTGCACATATAAACCAGATAATGTCTGAAAATATCTCGTTTCACTTTGACCCTCCCTGGTAAGGGTACCTAATATAATACGCCTATGGAGCGCCTCGAAGCCCCGTGACCAGGCTGTCTTTATTTCAAAGATTGTTCTTTGAGTCTTTCACACGACGAAAGAGAAGTATCTGTTCATGTTCAGGTCTTTTGCTGAGCTTGCTTTGTTCGATATAATAAAATGTAGAAATACGAGTACTAGAGATTCAACGAAAACGGTCGAGGCACGAGCATGCACGACAAAATGTCTTCTGTTATTCAAAACTCAACTTTGCTGGAACTGATTTCGGGATTGATAGACTGTTTATCACCATAGCTTACATTAAGGTGAAAATGTGGGACTAAGGTGACCTTACAGCTCAGAGAGGAGAAATGTATGGACTGGATTGAACTGGCTGAGGTGAGGACTACAAAAAGCCTGCACGACATTTCAAAAGAGTTCCAGGACAAATAAAACGTTTTATTTGTACAAGAAAAGAGGCAGCTATCTGGAAAGAGTATGATCACCGACCCTTCAGACATAATTTTGTCGCATTATCTCCGCATTCATGGTCTGTCGCTTTTGGCCGATACACATCGCAATAGGATTCCATTTTCCTTTAGATTTGTATTTTGTACCTAGATTTCCGTTTCAGCTTAGTTAAGACTGCTAAACTAGGATAGACCACTGTGAAAATTCCAATTTGCAGAACTAGTCTTAGGACATTTCGCAAACTATTAACCGGAATTAAATGTAGGTATCCTACTTAGATATGCTTATAACCACCGCTGTGATTAAAAATTAATGTCAAGGAAAGAATAATTTAGTTTTGAGGCTTTGTAATAACTCTAAAAAAGATGAGCAGCATTGAAGATCTTTCGTAAATTTGTCAGGTCAAGCTGATTTTAAAAAGGTCAACTTTTGACTTGATGTTTGGGTCCTCCAAGGTCAAATGCGAATGTTTTTACTATTCAGCATGACCAACCGACCGTATGGCATAAATAGCGTACGACATCAACAGGCTATCTTGTTCCTTTTTGATTGCTTTTTCAGTTATTAGTCTTGGCGATATGCAGGCACAGCAGCAGGCCGAAGGAGTCTTAGAGGGACACCCTGGGTTTGGGAATTTAGCCTGATTGAAACTTAACCCCCGATCATTTTACAAAAAAAAAAAAAA